GCAACCTTAGATGTCAAAGTCCAGGTTGGTGAACGTGTTGCTGTGTCTTACATTTATGAGTCAAATTAGTGAAGCACACGCCCTCTCTCTCTCTCTGGCTCACACATGAGTGAGCGCGCACACACACACACACACACACACACACACACACACACTCGAACACACTACCATATAGGAAAATGATTCAAGGCCTTGTGTGTTGGGTCTTTTTTTAGCACTAAATTGGCTGGCCCATTAAAGAGGCTGATTTCCGCTTGTGTATATGATTTATATTTTCACCTGCATTAACTTTTCTTTGCCGGTTTGGAGACGTGAAAACACATTTAAACATTTAAAGACGATGCGTATTAGCTAATACTTGCCCATTTCCCCATCCAGCAGTTAATGAGTGTCGTTCTTGCCCACCATGAATATACAGTATGTCCGATACTTAATCTCCTTTTAGCTCTATTTCTGGTCTCCACTAACTTCTGACGTAAATAACTGGAAGCCTGTAGCTGCTAAATGCTCCATCATGTTCACCAGCTCGACGCAATCAGGTTTTGGTGATTTTCCTGGAAGTAGCTGCCTTTTAAGGGCCCGAAAAAAACGTCACATTAGTTTAGAAGGACTTGCTGAAAGTGCAGATACAAATTATAGATGCAGCAAGAGAAAACACAATACGGCCATTTAAAAATGCAAATACATCTGCCACCCACATGGAAACTGTTTGGCTGCTCTATCAAAATGTTGAAAAGTATGGCCTTCAACAGCACTTAACTCAGGCCCAATGTCAAACTACTAAAGACAATGGTTTTAGTTTGATCTAGTTTAGTAAAATAAAAGCGCTGGTATTAAAGCGGGAAGTTCTCGCCAGTTGGAGACCACTGCTGAGTTAAGAGTAAGAACTCCTGAGGGAATCCTGCCTGTTTTTATTGAGATCATTATCACAAATCTGACACAATCAATTTCCCGTCTTGTGCTCTGCGGTGCCATATCAGCTAAATGTTGTGTTCTTCCTCTCGCCGATCCCACTTCATGAAGCAGGGGTGGAAACTGGAGCAGGAAATTGAAAAGAGGGGTCCTGTTGTGTTGTGGAGTCGGCTGTGCCTGCTGCTGTTTCCTCTGAACATGCCCGTCTCCCAGACGCACACGCGTGCCCCGACAAATAATCCTCACAGTCCTTGAGGGGGAAGTTCTACCAACAGAATGCAGCTGTTTCAGCGATAGACCCATTTCTATTGCTGGGACACTGACGTGGGGGGCAATATGCTATTTGGCCTCATCGGCCCACCTTGGCTCGTTCCCCGTGCAGCCCGCTTGGCGGTGGCACTTCAAAGGACATGCGGCGGGATGGCACGCAACAGCTGGCGTACAGCTCGGTGTGTGTCTGCGGCTCACCGGCTGCTCACCAACGTTTACTGACTGCCAAAGGCAGTTTAGAGTCCCTGCAGATTATAACACCTCATTTTCAGAGGTGGAAAGAGAAATAGGAAAAGCCGCAGTCGGATTTATTACTACGGTCTTCTTTTTCTGTACGCACAGAATGACAGAAAAAATGTGAGAACAGACCAGACAGCAAATTTTAGAGATTTTAATTGACTCTGTGAGATTCGTTGAACTCTAAGCCGGTGTTTACATCGTCCCAATCTTGTCAGTGTTAAATCAACACTCAACAAAGTGTTAACACGTTAACTCGGAATAAGTGTCAAAAATAAATCTGCCCAGTGTTAAAAACATTACAGGTCATTTAGCTGATGCTTTTATCCAAAGCAACTTACATTGCATTTATAACCCATGGATTTTACATTTTAGCCTGGGGAGCAATTAGGGCTGAGGTGTCTTGCTCAGGGACACTGACATGGGACATGTAGCAGCCGGGGTTTGAACCACCAGCGTTGTGGTTCCCGGCTCACTCTCTCCACTCTTTTCAAAAAAGCTATATGCAAGAAAATCACATTTGGGTTCGGCAAATGTTTGTTGGCTTGTTTGAAGTGAACTGACTGATGACTCATGCTACAGTCATGTGACTCCCTATCTCCACTTTTTCTTCAGTTACACACGACAAACAGAACATCGGCTTCCTGGCTAGAGCGTGATTGTGATGCTGGTGGGTTTACATCGGAGTGAGTTGGTGCGTTTCGGTATCATAACCACAAAAAACAACAACACTTTAAACAGGAAAAAAATCCTTTAGATATTTTATTTTTCATCTTTTTATGTTGTTTCCCCATTATTGGTCATATGAGACAACCTATTCCGTTTCAAATAGCACATGCTAATTCTTGAAAAAGAGGACAAACTTCACTAAATGAATGGGACATTTATGCGGGTATGACTGTACGGTTCTGACAAGATCATTGTGCAAAGTCATCGCGTGCATCCGCTGACAGAATAAACAACCTCATCTGCCAGGTTGGACTGTGTGGAATCCCTGATTAGGTCTGGTGGTCTGCTGTGCCACCGGTCCCCGGGAAACAATTAGCACCATCCCCATCGCGACAGGATGAAGTCTGCCATTCCTCTGCTGGGCTCACTCACCCTGCTGGGAAGAAGGAACCGGCGTTGGCTCCTCACAGCAAACACAAACAAACAGTGAGGAAACTCTTAAGGATAATCAGCTGTTTATTGGATCGTCTTATCTAACAATCAATAATGGAAAAAAACTGCTTTGGTTAAACAAACCAGATGCAGCAGTCCAGTCATACAGCTTTCTACAACTCTCGACTCTCGCCGGCACTTCTCTCTGGTTCTTCTGCAGCCGTCAGTCACATACCGTCGCCCTTCCCCTTTACTCGCTTTGTCTCTCCCTTTTTCTTCTACTCATTCACTAAAAATAGAAGAGAAACAACATGCCACTGTACTTTTACTTTAGGACTGCCAGTTGAATCCTAATGAGTCACCGTGTGACTCGTATGCAAGTCACAGCCTCCACTGCTGCGCCTGAATGAGACAAGTGTCAAGTGACGTGAAACTTAATGCTGGATTTAAACACAATACAGGGCCTGGCTATTTCCTGGAATGTACCCACGGTAGCTGAATCACTTGTGGGACACTAGTCGCAGTGTCAAAAACATGTGCATTGCTCATTCAGTCACCATGTCAATTTGTCAAATACATTTTTTTGACCAAAGACATAAAAACTAATTACATTCCCAGCAAACACAGGCGAACTATAACGCGCCTTCAGTGACAGAGTTGGTGAACTTCACTTCACCAGACTTGTCACAGAGAGGCAAAGTCCCGCCCCTGCTGCAAAAAGGGGAGATGACCTTGAATTTAAGCCTCTAATTACACATGTGTCAATTTAGACCGAAGATAATTTTCCCCTAAACAAAAGTTGCATTTTGTCTTGAAACCGATGAAGTCCATGCCTGGTGGTTTCTTACCGGGATGTACTCTCATCAACAAGGAGATTTGAGTGGAATGAAGCAAAGTTACCGAGCAAACCACCAAGCAAAGGCGTTGACCACGTTGCTGTCAGCGATGAACATTGGCCAAGACCAGAGAAGCAGTTCAACGAGAGGTTTCGGACAAAAACTAAACGCTACTACGGAGAAATGTGACTCTTTCCTTGCAAAATGATAACGGCAGAGACGTCGCCCCTCATGCTGTGCATCGCGGTGCCTCAGTACAGCCTCACGAAGCTGCCTCGCGGCTGTGGAGTTGTTTTACGGTGGCCTATTGGAAACATCTTGATGGGTACCGTGAGCAGCAGGAACGACAGTGAATTAGCCCCTCAGCTGTGCTAATGATAGCACAGAACTAACTAGATCAGCAGCACGCGTGTGACAAACAGATTGCTTAGAGGAAACTTCCTGTTGTTGCATGGGGTTCAACCCCGCTGTCAATACCAATTCTCTAAATTGCTCGTCTCCATTTGAAAACAGTCGAAATGTTTCAAGGCGCTCTAGATTAAAAGTGCTATCAGGGAACAAAAGGAATAAATTAGTTTAAATGTCACTGGGAACATGGGATCAGGGGTGAGGAGCACAGGGAGGACTGGTGTTCTCAGTAAAATGATCCGCAGGTGTCCTGTATACTGAGATGAGCACAAGGCTTTATAAAGAACTAGTTTCATGAGCACACAGGATTACATTTGGGAAGGTTTCCCTTGTGTTTTGTACTCCTTTCAATAAACATGAACTTCATTAAATTGATAGCATTTTGTCAACAGACCATTTGCACTTGCATTGAGCTTGTGTAGCTGTAGATGCTTCTTGCGTGAGGAGTACAAATACAGAGTATTAGTTAAATGTATCCTCAAGCTCTTTTGTGATTGTAGCTGTGGAGGTGAATCCTTCAGGCCATACAGATTTTAATTACTGGTGGCTTTTGAAAGGTCGCCCTGTGAGCCAATCAGGCACTGATTTACAGCAACAGGGTGCAGAGGTTTTAACACTGGGACCAGACTCATCTGAATAGATCTGCAACAGCACACAAAGGAAATGCTTCTAGTTCTGTTAGGACTGTGTTGTGTTCTGAACTCAAATGCAACACTCAGGAGACAGGAAAAGGTTAATGACCTGCTAGGAGTTTTAATTGTAACCGAAAGTCCAGCTATCCTTACTGTACATTTATACATATGAAGAATGGTCAGCATCCCGGCGTGTGTAAATTGGTAGCAAAAACAACAATCCAGACGAGTACTGGGTACTTGCCAGGTGGTTCTATGGGAAGATCTGGCGAGGAGCGGTGGGAAAAGCAGGGTACTTGAAGGGTCTGGTGAAGATTGTAAACTGGATGCAGGTGTGCAGCGTCCGCACCCGGCCAGCTCGTTACCAGGATGGGAAACACACGAGGCCCTGAGTGTCTCAGTGACAGGGTGACGACTGCGCAATGGATAGCGGGCAGGGACTCCAGTGGCAGAATGCGGAGGTGGCGGTTCTGAAACCGTAACAAGTTCTCTATAGGACAGTTACAATAAAAGTAGTTTTTGTAGTTTTTCGAATGCAGCATACCTTTGAGAAGCAAGAGATAACCTTAAAAACATAGTAAATAATGAGAAATGATGACTATAGTTGAGGATCCATGTTTTCCTGTTTTTAAAACCACTCACGACATTAGATAAGCCTCTTTAGCGGTAAACACCCATTCTGCCCAGTGAAGCCAATGTGGATGTGACTCTCTACTGGCAATCAGGGGGACAATGAAAAAAAAAAAATATTACCTCAGTAACATTGTGAACATGTGTTTCTGGTCTCAATATCTAGTGATTTATATTTAGTGAATGATGGTCCCATTGAGAGGGAAAGGGCTGATCAGGTGTGTAACAGGTGGCTATAGAGCACTATTATTAATCTAAAGTGGGATGCAGCAGAAAAAAAAAACAGAAGTCCAGACGTAAAAAGAAATGAAAGGCAAACATTCACTGACATCTTAGTTATATGATCTATAAGTGGCATAATATAAGTGGCCTACAAGCCAGCGACATAACCAGCACAAAGTGACTTTCCTTTATCCGGTGGTTTTAAGTGCACAGCCCCAGATAGGAAAGGGATGATAATCCGCTGTTACCATAGCGCTGCTCACAACTGGCGTTCCCTGTTGCACTGAGGTGAAAGTGAGGACCGAAGCTCCTTCTTCACCCTGCTCTCCTTCCTCAAGAAGAAATCGATTTTGCGCACTAACGTATTGGTGGATTAGAACTGCGTGTTTATCACGCTGACGCAGGATAGATTCCATTGGAGGCGTCCTCCACACCTCTTTGTCCCCCTCCGACATCGTTGTGCGAGCAGTCATACACATATTCTGCATCTCTTGTTTCAGGTCCTGCGTAGTTTTTCAGCCTCCTTCAGACTCCAGAAACAAGTAATCCACTGAAATAACATTTTTATCTTCTGTTGAACTCTTAAGCCAATTCTAATGAAAAACACGGAGGAACTAACTGTTCCGGCTTTTTGCTGTGAGTCCAGGAAGGATTATTTTTGCCACATGGACGTGTTATGAATAAAGCATCTGTGTGGCCCGTGAAGTAGGATGAATGTAGTCCAGTGAGTGAGTATCATTATCACAGGGTGGGGGGGGAGCATCAGTGGAAAAGGGATAGGCTATGACCTGGGGGTGTAGGGCGGACTGCTTTGCAAAGCTCGCATAAATGACAAAAGACTAATCTGATCTAATTTGGCTGAAATGAATCAAGTACATCTTGCTCCCCAAATACATGAAAATACAGGAATGGCGTGTCCAAAGAAACACAGACAAAGGAGGACTGTGAAGAAACACAATAAGAAGCAGAAGAATGAGTCTGTGTTCCTTCCAATACAGTCCGTTCCAGTTCACTGAAGAAACAGAGAAAAACAACGAGTCAACGAATAAAAAAAGCAAAGCGAGAAGCACACAGGGGAACACGCAAAGGGGAGATGGAGCTCACATGCAGTCATCTGAGGGGTGGTCAGTGTTAGGAGACCATCTGAAGCCACAGCGCCTGGCTCGGCTTAACGGGATCGGCTGCTGTGTTGTGGCTTGGATACCGTTGATCCCTCTTATCCACTTACTGCACCTTAAACTGTGGAGGGAGGATACATCGCGAGCCGTTGCCGTCTCCTGCTGGTCAACCCCTCTTTACACCTGCGGCACAAGACAACCTTCATGGCCTTCAGAACCACCCGTGTGACCTTACAGGGCGTCGAATGGCATCGCTCTTATTCGGTTTTAATCCCGCGTGGGGTCAGTATTTTATGTCACGATTTAGAAATGGAAGTAGCTCTTGAAGGAGTTACTAGTTTACTTCCACAGATGATAAAGGGGAAAAAATCCTGAGAATTAATATCTCATCACGTGTTTAGAGCCTTGTCATTAATTCCTTGATAGTAGGTGTTCTGTCTCACACACATATTCTCTATGATTTATTGGCATTAACCCAATAAAATATTCAAAACAAAGTTTACATTAGTTGGTAAAATCTATAATATTGTTGTGTTTTATTGACCTTAAAATATTCCATTTGCATACTGTATGTTCAAATTAGCTTTAGCTTTTTAAAGTTACTTAAAGGAAGTGGTGAGTGAAGGGGAATTCCATGCAAACCATTAAACCGTGGACTCTTTAACATACACACCATGTTTTGATCTCACCGCTGAAATGACTGCAGGCCTGTTTCCCATTCCCACTTTGTCAAGGGACCTACAGAAATAACCATATCTATTCATGCAGATCTTGCACATTGTTGCCACCATCTCAAGTTACAAATTGTGCTTTTCAGCATTTTGCATAAAAAAAGAAAGATCGCTGGCGTCTGAAGTTAAGTAGACTGGACCAATTGGCCGAATCAATGAGCCATCACGACATAAAGGACTAAAACCCTGGGCCTTAATTGAGTTAGCTGGATGCACCAACACACACCCTTTTTCCCTTCTTCTGTGGGTGGCTAAAATCTTGAAATTAAATAAGATAATGGAAAAGAGAAACAATATTAGATTACTCCAAAAGGGATACACGAAAAACCATTCCTCGCAGAGCAGTTCATCCCAGTGCTAGCAACTTCCCCAGTTTATCCCCCAACGTTTGCATCCACCCACCGCCCCTCACTTCCACTTTGAGTTGCATTAACCTGCAGCGCCGTGCGAATGTGCCAACGTTAGCTTATCTAAAAGATAACGCCGTGCTCTCTGGAGAATGCTCAGCTACTGGGGTTTGGGAAGAATTGATCTTCCCATCATAAGGTGCAGGAAACCCATCCACTGCTGCCAAAGCAGCATAACAAATAGAAAGCGTGCATTTCTTGCAGATCTTGGATGACTTGGGAGCTCAGATAACATTACCATTTGAGTTTGGAAGAAACGCAGCTAGATTTGATGAAGCAGGTGTTTTAAAAAGCCCGTGTTGGCAATTTTGAAGGGTTGTTTTGGTGTGCAAGCTGCTTCTGTTGGTAGAGAGGAATTAGTCGTGGCTTATGATATTGGTGTAATGAAGACAAAATGCTGATGATATTTGCTGACAAAACTAGAGCAAAGCTGTTGGCTTTAAATGTAATTTTGAAAAATGCGATTCCGGGAATGATCATTGTCATCACTCCCTCGTAAAACCGGTCTTAAGACGCTCTGCTGTGACTCATTTACAAAGACATACAGTAAAAGGCACATTCCCTAAGGAGGGCTTCGTCTGGGACCGTTTGTCATGAGTTAAAATCAAACCAGCTGGTTTTTGCAAAATCCTCGCTGACCTCTTTGTGTTCCATCTGAAGCGAAGCGCAATTTCTCTGAAACAGAAGTCTTTTTACATTTACCACAAATCCCAGGGTCTTTCAGTATCTTCAATATATATAAAGCTGACAACATTAAGAAGTTTTATGCTCACATCTTTACCATCTCACCATCTGCCGTATTTTTCCCCTCTCTCCTGAAAAGGTTAAAATTAGCCTCTTTAAGTCTATTTGAACTTGTAGTTACATCAAATTGTCCCACATTATCACAGTGTGTGTTTCTTTCTAAACCTTAACTTTGATATTGAACAGTCTGGTTTTGAATGGCGTAACATGTATTACTTCCTTGTTGTAATACTTCACCATGAGTTACACATTGGTAAAGCAAAGCCAATGGCTATACATGGCAGGGTGAGGCATCAACCCATCCCAAGCTATTTTCAGAGGCATTGTCCTCTCACAACGAAACATAAAGCCACAAGTGTTGAGCTGACATGTAACTGAAAACTTGGAGCCAATCCGTCCTCCTCCTGAGTTTCTCACAATTTGCTGAGACATCAAAGGCATAAAATGTTCAATCGGAAGGACTTTGACTCATTGAAGTCGATGTCGACATCACTTTGCTGAATTAAAACGGAATGTCAAATTATACAGCTTAGCTGCAGGGTTTCTAGCGACGGCATTGTGGTTTGTCATCATTTCTCTTTTGTCTCCGATTCCACAGAGCTGAACCTTCCAATAAAAGACTTCATTTTCTGGTCTTTTTCCTCGGGCCCAGGCGGGTGTCAGCAATTTCGACAAGGCTGATAGGACGAATGTCAACACAGGTGTCAAGGGTCTTTCCTGCCATATTTTGTCATTCAAACCCGTGGCTAAATATTCTCCCGCTACTTTTCAATGTCACATGTCGCCACTTTGGAACTTGAACAAATGCTTCCACAAGGAGGTAGAGGTTGGTTCTTTTCAGCTCTGTGAAACTGGATGTTTCAAAGTGCATGCTAAGATTCTCCCATTGGCCATGCTCTCATCTTGATGCTTGGCAAGTATTTTGTTTGCCATTTTCAACATCTTCTGGTCCGGTATGTTATGCTAGCATTTTATAATGAACTTCATACGTGAAGGAAAGCTGGAACTGTAGGTGTGGTGGTTAGCACAGCACCTCTGTTGGAAACCACCCGGCGGCCTTTCTGTGTGGAGTTTGCATGTTCTCCTTGTGTCTCCGTGGCTTCCTCCCGCAGTGCAAAGACATGCTCTGAGCGATCGGTTAACTGGTGACTCTGAAAATGGCCTGTGGACGGGTGAATGGGTGAATGGGTGAGTGAGTGGTTGTTTGTCTCTGTATCTGTCACGGTGTGGTTTTATTTCCTGTCTTATTTTGTAGTTTTCTGCTTCTTGTCTCCCCGGGTAACTTCACTTCCTGCCTTGTCCTGTCATCTTCTGTGATTGTCTGATTGCTTCCACCTGTGTCCAATCACCTGCACCTCCCTAGTGTATTTAAGCTGTGTGTCTCCTGTCACTTGTCGCGTCATTGTCTATCGTCCTGGATGCGCTCGGTTCCTGTGTGCCTTTGTGCCGCTTGTTCCTGTGTGTGGTTTTGGCCCGTTGGCCTTTTGTGTTTTCCTTTTTGACTATTAAAGTATTTTTTGGTTAAGTCTGCGTCCTGAGTCCTGCCTTCCCCACGCATCCCCAACAGTGTCCCTCGTCTCTCGCCCACATCTCTCGTTCTCATCTCTTTGCTTCTAAAATCAAAACATGTTCGCCAAATGCAATTATAACATTCCTTATCTGGTAGATACATTGTTTCATTATGTTTTGGGGCTTTTTGCCTAACATGGGATAAGCAGATATTAGACAGGACTTACTATATATTCTAACTACAGGAATAAGAAATCATTATTTACCTTCACAATACACTCGTTTACCTGATTGTGCAAATGAATAAACAACTGTTTGATGAACCCACCCAAGCAGCAGCACTGCGACGGATCGGTACTTTTCTAGACCGTGAAACTTGCATTGCCCTTTGTGTGACACTGCGGCGCCCAGCGCAGAGCTGCTTAGTGGGAGTTTCATTCCTTCGTTCAAATGAGGCCACGTGAACAGGGAATTGATCGTATTTCGTTGGGAGATAATATACATCTCAGAAGGGCGTTTGTGTCTGGTGGAAAGTCGCTCAACTGCGGCAAAGTAGTGCAAAAAACCCCGACATGTATCATAGATGTGTCACGAAGTCTGAAAGAGGACAACATCATAATATACTACTGGATGTAAAATATGTTTCATGTCTGGCAAAATAATCGCATCAAGAATTCAGTTGTACAGTGAAATATTTTAAATCCTTTTCTTAAACACATTAGCTCTAGCATTACATATATGTAGTGTGTTGCTATAGTAACGGTTGCTGTACAAGGAAAGGGCCCTAATAAAATCTCCTGCAGTTGCCGCGAGTAGTGATGACATATCATGTTGCATTGGGGAGCCGTATCTGCCTCCGTAACAGCAGATGAACTCTGGAAGCATCCTATTCCACACTGCCACAGACGGGTTGCACAGAACACTTATTACGTTGTCAGCGGCGCGCTTTAAGAGGCGAGCACGGGGGCCGGGTCGACTTGTCCCACCGATGTGCAAATCAGCTCGCCTCACTTGCTGCCGCGGACGGGGGCCCGTCTGAGTGGATACTTATTACGCTGTCAGTGTTTTCTTTAGAGAGCGGCTCAACTGGGTTGAGTTGTTCAGATGAGCCCCCACTCCAAAAGGGGGCCAGTGTTTACTTCATCTGTGGAAGCATCAGGTGACCTTTAAAGGCCGCCATTGATGTAGCCCACTTTTGTGTGGTGTTACATGGACCACTGTGAGCTCATGTCATCCTCTCCCTGTTAATCTGTGGATCATAGTCCCCGTCTTCTCTACCTTTTGCTTTCTCCCCGTTGTCTTCAAGTCCTTTACCAGCGAGATGGCTTCTGTAGATCTGCTTTGATCTGGAAGAAAAAGAAGCATCTACTCTCCTGTCCAGCCCACATAATAATTTCCAGAAAGAAAGAAACACGCTGTTTCAAAATGACGAAGAGAAGACATTCACATTCTATTTCCTCCCCCTGATAAAAACTGTTTTCCCTCAGAGCATTGTGAGGTTATCTCACTGATCAAGTGTCATTGGTCTCACTGTCAGTGAGCTCTACGCTACTTGTTCAAACTGCAATATATGTGCTGATCCTACACAGGCAGCAGTTTAAAAACACATGACTTAATAATTAAAGGCTTTCCTCAGTGAAAATGATTTTCTTCTAAAACCCAGGGTTTTAAAATAAGACCTTTTTATTCAAGATTAGTTTAGATGATTAGACTAGATGATTTGATGATAATGTATTAATGTTGACATTGACAGAAGGTGTACAACTCTATACTGATGCTAAGACACATAATAATACTCACAATACTGGCAAATATTTCTGATTTCTGACCTTCAACTTCTCAAACTCAAACTGTTGAATATTCAACATAAAAACAAATATAATGCAATGTGTGTTTACCTGCTCCAGCATCACATAACAAGCTCCAGCCGGCTATTGTGCAACGTGACTGTTGGGAGGACTTGCCCACATTCAAGACATGCTCCGGTTTGGTGGAGGAAGTGCATGCTTACGGTTATCTTCTAAGTTTCATGTTTGTGTGATTCACAGTGGGCTGAGAACCTGACACAAGTAAGTTCCTTTACAGAGGAAATGCGTAGCTGAAGCAAAGATAATGGTCATCAAGAGCACCAGCAAAACCAAATTGTTTTTTATGAGAGGCTGCTAGTGATTAGTCTTGTATTTCCGTGTGCCGTGTCCGTCCTGTTATTACCTGAAACAACAGTGACGGTAAACCCTCAAACATGTGTTGCTTCACAAAAAAATGACTCCACTTGACTGGAAAATGTTAGTCCATGTCTCCCCACCTAAGTATTAAACTAACTGCTGAATGCGACAAGTTGACACATGCATGTTGTCGGCAATTGGCGAACGTCATTGTTAGACAGGCTGCCTGTAAGTCACCAAGTGAAACACAAGGTGAGGCCCATTGAAGAGGGCATTGAGCTTTGCAAATTTGTGATCAACGCTTTGTGGGTTTGGTTTGTGCAGTATATCTTGTGTTAAGTGTGTCAAGCTGAGAGTCTGCGTTGGGCTCAATGCATGCATAATTTAAGGAAACATGATTTTATCAAATGTATCCAATTCTATGTCCAACCCATTAAACTAAGAGCTGTGAAACCGCATTCCCCCAATCAGCTTCTGAAGTAGTTTTGCTTGTTTGAAAGTGCTAAATTCCAAATTTCGGAGCACATCTGTTGCCTCCACATGACTCTCAACGCGGCTCAGCCGCCGTCTCGCAGTTAACAGTACGAATGGCGCCAACAGTGCCAACGAAGGGGCCGGGATGTGAGACCTGACTTGTATAGGGCAGAGTGCAAAGGGCTGCTGGGACAGCGCCATAGGTTGGGATAACTTTATCGGCGGTAAAGATGAAGATGAAAAAAAAATAAGTCAACCGTGACAACATGGGTGATAAAATACTGACAAGTACCGTAAAAAAAGACGGCGGTAAAACAAAATCAGATATCCCACAAACACAGGCGAACGGGTGAGACGTTTGTGAAAGAATCAGTGAGGCTGTATGCTCACGGGGGTGATGCACACCTGTGTGGCCCAGTGTCTGCCACGACAACCACGAAGAGTTCACTCACGTCACAGCTTCCCCCCTCGGCCGCCGGCCATCCTGTCCCGCGGGCCCCGCCCCTCACGGACACACGGGAGGTTGTGCGACACGTGACTCCTCCGGGAAGGCGGAGCTGTTGACCGAACGAGCGTTTCAGTACCGACGGGTCCTAAAACCCCGCGCCGCGGATGCTCCCGGAGACCCGCCATTAGCCCTCAATTCAGGTGAGGTTTCTCTGTGTCTGTTTTTCTTCCTTTACAAAAGCAAAAGTCGGCAGTCGCCTCTGCTGGTGGAGCGTGTAGCGGGACGCGTGTTTACGTCAGTGGCTCCCTGCGCTTTTCCTCCTCCTCGGAGTCCGGCGGGGCCGCTGTTAATTCTGCTACACTTGACTTGTTTTCCTAATGTTCGTGTGGTTTCTTCTCAGTCAGCGGAGGGAAAGTAGAAATCGTTGCGCAACAGAAGTGGGGTGAATTTTTAAAAAACTGCCGACTAGTCGTGTTGTGCAACTTTGTTACTCTGCCACTTTATAGATTTAATAACGTTAAGTGGAACTTCCGTGGCGTGAAGCTCGCGACATTGTTCCAAAACCTGTCAGTTCGGAAAATGTACTTTTGTGTACAATGGACGACTAATGCCGAACGCGTTATCGCACTTGTGCCCGTTTGTCCGGGTTGCGCGGCGGGACAGAGCCCCCCCGGTCGTAAGTGTCTTTCGCTCCCCGGCGAGAGGCTCGTGTTAACAGATGCAGCGGAGACTTTGGTCACCGTGTAATTACCGCGTGTTTATCAGCAGGTAACCGACGTCACGCGCCAACATGACACGTTCTAGTGCGGTACAACGTAGTTGTGTCCTGTCTGTGTAGATAGCTGCGCGCAACACTAACCTCTGCACACTGTTCTATAAATACCGCAGGCTGGAGGCTGTGTGTGTGTGTGTGTGTGTGTGTGTGCGCGCGCGTGCGGGCGGTGGAGGTTTGTGCTGAGGTTGAAGTGCCGCAGCTTTGGGTGTAAACTTGTGTCTTCATGATGTGTAAACACAAGAGAGCAGCAGCAGCGCGAAGGAGCTGGAGGCAGTTTCCCAGCTGGTGCTCTCCGATGTGCGTCCTATATAAAGCCTTGAAGTTGTTTAATACACATCTTCTGATCTATTCGTCTTTCTTAATTTTATGAATGAAAGCTAAAATAAAAGTGATTTCACTGCAGTCTGTCCATCTTTAGAAACAATGGATAAGAATCACTTAAAGTTGCCAAACCTGGATGAGATAACAAGTAGATTTGAACGAAGTACCCTTTGTTTCGCTGTAATAGATTTGACAGGTCTAAGTTAAGAATATGTTGAAGAATAAATGTTTTACGAAACATCCTTAATCAGTTTCTTCTCGTCCAGACAGCCCACTATTGACAGGTGTGTCTTTTTGAGCTAAACCTGATCTATGGTTATCTGGACAAAGAAGAGGTAATGGATTTAAAATAGTTTACTCATCTGAAAGCAGGTTTCAAACGTTGATGAATCTATCGGGCTTCCTTTTGGTCATCTCACCCATTCGGAACAATAAATAATCTTTTATTCGATATTGTTTCTCTTAACTTCCCCCATAACATTTCCAAATCGGAAGCTAGCTTTGGGCTCGCTGTGCCTCTGAGCCGCTAAGACTCCTTTCGGCCCTCACGAGTGGAAACTATTCCCTCAGCGTTACGAGCTCTGGAGGACTGCTGCTGCTACGCTCGTGAACTCCGGGCCCCACAGGAACAAGGTCACTGCAGCCTGAAACACATTTGGCTCAGCGTGCTCCTCCTGAAGGACGAGAGCCCAGTCCTGGTTGGAGCACAAGTAAAACAGGATCTTCTTTGTCCAAAGTCGTGTCTGTTATTCCTTTTTCGTGCCATCTGGGCGTCTCTTTGCACAAGTCAATAAGCTGCAGAAGACGTCTATGTTTCCAAACTGTTGATAATAGATTTTTGATATTATCTTACTTTATTTACCTTTTAATCCAATAGTTGAGCAAACCCTACGGGATTAGTGTCTCCTACACAAAGAGTTCACAGGTCTGTGTGGTTTGTGATGTTCATTTCTATGTTAATAAAGACCAACCTGCGTCGTTATAAGCTGCTGATGGGAACGATAAACACTTCAACCTCTTTTAACTGATCACTCTTGGTGCGTTTTTGCATATTTCTGCATCATTGAGTCTTTTTTAATTGGATTGTTTGGAACAGACAGTAAACACCAGGCATTTAAATTTCCCATTTTAAGCAGTTGGGGAAAATGTCACTCACTCAAACGGCACACACAGTTTAATCGCGCTAAAATGACTCTGTTAAACAACAAAATGGATTTGGGGATGAAAGGCACAGAGAGATGTTTAATCACTGTTAATGCGTTTCTCTGAGTGAGTGTCTTCTAAGAAACCCTCTTTGTGAATGAAACACCTGCAGTAAATTGAAGTCACCGCTTCACATTTGCAGTTTTCGTGTGTGTGCACATTTGTGGAACTAAAGTGTCTACTAATTATATATGGCTGGATTTGATGCACAGTCAATGGATGACTGCAGTGTCTGAATGCAGTTCCACGATACGAGGCAGAATAGATATACTCTAATTGTAAAATATCAGATCAAGTTCAGCCAAAGGAAGCTAGCTGCTATTGAAAACCCGCTTCACTGCTTTCAATCAGTGCGTCCTCCTCCCTTCAATGTCTCAGCAATAAAGATTCTCCTCTGGCACAGTTTAACTTTTACTTCTCCATCTCTCCTTGTAACACGGGCTTATTTGGCATCGGATTCAAATTGCAATTAAAAAGTGTTTTCAAAATGTATAACCTTCCAATGTCATTTATAACTCCTGAAGTCTTTGACATTAGCCAGAATGTGTCCATGGTGACTGCTGAGATTGAATAACCCCGCATAGGAGGCACGTCCAACCATGGTTAATGTTTCGGGCTAAACATCTCCACCATGCAGATGTCCAAATTCTATTCCAATTAGTGGCACTTGAAATGCCTCCGTGCAGACATTTAAACGCAATATTCCACTGTTGCCTGGGTTTGACAATGCAAACAGACCGGGAATGTGTTTGAAACAAAGGTCCCAGATGCCATCTGTTTATGTAGCCGCCAACCGTGCAGACTTTCGCTATTATGTCCACGTCAGTCTCTCTGTCGACGCCCCTCTGGCCGTCCCTGTCTGCACGGTGCACATTCAGCTATACAATTTGCTCAATTTCAGTACTGTTGTTCTTATTTGTCCCGTTGCTGTTTGCAGCGTAAGGTGAAGATCTGTGTGGCGCCAATAGACACCCATAATTTAGCTTTAAAAAAACAAAATCTTTTTGTCAAGTCACTTAAACATTGCTATTGATAGTGTTTGAGATTCTTTCTTTAATCAGAAGTTCACTGCATAGGATATTCCTTTGGTAAACAACGTGCTTCTAACTAGTATTCTTTGATGTCTTAGCTTTCTGAACCAAATCAAGCCCATTTCCGATGGGCCAACATTCGCGTCCCGTCCTTTGTCGCATTAATCAATACAAATGGGAACTAATGCCACTGTTGTTCTCAGGGACAAATAAGGGGACAGGAGCCTGTAACGCACATTCGCCCTGTAGAAATGGGTGCACTGCCTGTTAGCGAGCTTCCTTTGGCCCAACTGCCAGTCAGCATATATTGTGCCCATGCGTTGTTTGAAATGCCACTAATACAACTCCAGGGAAATCCGTCTCTGAGAATACTGTTCTTTCCCCTGTCTTTCATCTAAACCAACCATTTCCACTTTGAGTTTACTGTCTTCATTTTCGGAGTAAACAGAATTACACAGCTACTTTTACATTACAGGTCATTTAGCTGACGCTTTTTATCCAAAGCGACTTACATTCCATTTTTAACCCATGGCATTTTACATTTTTGCCTGGGGGAACAATTAGGGGTTAGGTGTCTTGGGACATGGGGCAGCCGGGACTTGAACCACCAACCTTGCGGTTCCCAGCGCACCCTCTCTACCCCCTGCGCCACGTCTTTTCTCATTAGGCTTATTGTTGCGCAACTCAATAAGAGAAAGGGAGTTGGATATCGGCCAGAGGGACAGTGAAATGAGAAAAGAGGAAGATTCGAAGCAGTAAAAGGGACAGAGCGTTTAATGGATAACTGTACAGAAGCTCTCAGGCTCAACTGATGTGATTTGAGGCTTGATGAATCCTTGTGGTTACCCATTGAGTTAATGGCTGCAAAACATTCTCCCAGATTGAGTCCCCCGTACCCTTTTATGCCTCACAACTCCAATAATAAGCCCGTTTTAGCCCCTTTGTGCTCTGTGGGGACTTTGTCCAGACTTTGAACCCATCCTAGCCCAGTTAGCTTAAGTGTTGGAAGGGTTGGCAGTTGGGAAAGGCATCCTTGTTTGTGGACATGTTGTGGATGTCATGCTAATGGTTACTAATTGAGTCTATTAATGGCATTGTCGTGTTGGATACGAGGTGACGGGATCCTGTGGTGCTCACACTCAACCAGCAGGACTGTGCAAACTGTCCCACCAGCTTCCCCCCCGTGCCCCCAATCAGGGGCCTCAATGAACAGCTGTCGTGTTGTATGTATGATAGTAAATATGAAATGAAGCGCAGGTTGACAGTTTATTTTTGTCTTCATACTTGCAAACTCAACGCTTTTCGCCAAATTTGCCGTTTTGGAATCTACAAAGCTCATCCACGTGATTCGTGTAGATCTGAAGAGTTTTTATTTGGGGGGGGAGTGAAGTGGCCGGCCGGCGTTTCTGAGATTGCAATGAGACTTTCTCGCTTTCCGAATCCTCTCGGCAACTTTCTGCCATAAGCGCGAAGCAGTTACTGTCCCCACGCAGCAGACTGCAGTCACACACGTCTCCGTGTCCAGACTGACAATGAATTGTGCATGCACAAAATCTTACAGCGTCCATTGCAATTATGCTCATTAGATGATGCATTACGCTTGTGTCTTTTAATAGTTTGAAAACTGATGTGACGTTTTGTTAGAGAGCTCCTCTACTAAATGTTCCATGATTTGCAAGAAAGCCATTGCACAGTGTCCTTCGGGGCAGTTTTACAGTATATTGGGAGCAGCATCTTTCACCTTTTTATATATATATATATATATATATATATATCTATATGTGCGTTGAAGTTATTATTCAGTTATTTATGTGTATGCATGGATCAGTTTCACTGAAAGTAGCATTACTAAATAAACATAAGAAAGGTGGATTCACTTGACAGTGTTTTCCCATAAAAATATTTTTTTAAACGTTTGATATTTTTACTTTGAAAATTCTGGCTATTTAAATATTTCTCTCACATGAATATCGCCGTATCACAGTTGCTGTTTTCCCCAATCCATCAGGTCCAAGGACGGCAATGATATAGTATGATTTTGTTGCGTTTTGTTTGCCATACCTGTCTGTGCACAACGCTGCAAAGCCCTAAAGCAAACGTTGCTTCTGAACCACAGGATGAACTTAAACGTGACACAAGTTCAAAGAATTTAAGCTTGAGCAGTTTAGTGTGACTCCATACACTGGCTTTGGGTTAAGAGTTTGAAAGCTGCTGTGGTGTTTCATGTAGAAAGGACATAGGAAACAACTTGCTTTGTGCAGAATTACAGATTACTAAAGGTTGACAGAGATAATTAACAACGGATTTGCTGAGAGAACGTTACACACGCGGGTTAAAGAGTGAGAGTGACATGGAAGGAGTGCCAGCAATAAGGAAAGGGAAGTCAAGTGGGCTTTTGCCATTTACGGTGCTTGGCAAGCTGCACGGAAAGATGCTACTTCCTGCTTTTTATTAGACTCTGAATAGTTGGCCTTTTGTTGCCAGGGTAACAATGCATGGGTGTTTGGTTTTCCATGAGCAACAGACGTGTGTGTGAGTGAGAGAGAATCACCGCTGTATCCCTGTCACTACCGCAGGGCAGCTGACAGTGTGCCAAGCGACAAAAGGGCGGAGTTATCCGGAAAATGCCTCGCCATGTGAAGATGTTGTCGCACACACATTGTTCGCTATTGAAAGTCAAGATTCCATAGCTGCCATGTCAATGAACCATGCTGTGCTGGGCATGCGGCTTTGTTGTGATGTGCCATTACAACATGTCTCTCCCAAGTTTTACAGGAATTCTCTCTCACCCTCTCAGCATTTACCCCCCAAACCGAAACACTAAACATACTTATAGAGTTTCAGCTGTTTCGGTTTGAGACAGCCCAAATAAGCGAAGCTTACTTCACTCCACGTTGTCTTTTGTTTCTTTTCTGTACCCTCATGCAGGGAGAACAGATGCAGACATAATCTCTTCAATAGAAGCCGCGTAATGTTATTGAGGTGAGGGGTAAAGTTTCCCGGCTAGAGTTAGCCACAACTGCATTTTTCAAGAATGTGTATTTATTTTACAAACAACACTTGTCTGTATTCAAATAAATTCTATACATTTCAGCCTGTCTTCAACCACTAATTTGTATGGATGATGCACAACAAATGTCAGGCATGTTGCCGGTACACAAGAAACGTAATCCATTGTTATATCCGCACATTTAATGGTGGTTTTGGTGGCAGCGCGATCACCACGTTCAAAAGCCGTGTCAGTCATTTTACAAAAATAAAAGAGAATTTACGTGAGAATGCAGCACAGCAGAATGACTCGTGCTTAGATTGTAGAGTCCTAATAGCAGATATTCTCCTTGGAGGCGGGGCCTGCAGGCGTGTGCGTTTACACGGCCGCTGAGTCGGCAGAAAAAAATATTAGCATTGTATGTTTCTGGAAAAACAAAAGAAGTATGTTGGCTGTCTATGTTTTTGAACTAAATATCATAGATCTGTTTTATACCAGCCTCATATCACTTCATTACCTGAGCTTGACTACAAAGCACTCGGAGCTACTGGTTTTAACTTTATAACAATGAATAACCCACAACTAACCCCCTTTTAAACAGCGTGAAACACCACGACACAACATTATGTAACACATGAACAATTTGAAAAAAAAAAGCTTTTTCAAGTTGCTGTTATTGCCTCTGGTGGCAACACTAGCAATTTACTCCATCACCAGCAGGCGGTGAACTGCTGTGATTGATGTGGTGTCCTGGACGGATTCACGCGCAAACATGAACAGGCCGCGTTACTGCTCGTCCTTTCATGCCTGACCGGTGTCACTTTGTCTCCTCAAACAAGTGCTCACTGTGCCGTCGCCTCCCTCGGCCCTCCCTTCACCTCGGCCTTTGAGCTCTGCTCCTCTGTCCTTTAGATCACAAAAATATTCTGACCTGTCATCAGTAAGATGATCAATGAGCAATGATTTTAAGATAAATACTCTTTTGTCTGTTTTTACAACGAATCGGAACGGGGAACATGTCAATCAATTGCATACTGCCGACGCTGCTAATCCCACTTGCCGGCTGAATTATTCATAGTCAATTAGGGCTGAAGCTGTCTTCTCGGCTCAAGTGCATTTTCAATGATTCATTTCATGAGCAGCGCACAGAGTCTCTTAATTGTTGTTTACTGCTTGCTGCCCGACCACATGTTATTTTTATGCCGTCGTGATTACTCCCGGCAGCGCTCGGAGTGCTTGGGAAACGAAGTCCATTACGTGGGTCCTGAGAGCGGTTCTGTGATGTGTCGTGGAACGTTTCCAGGCTCCGAAGTTTAGCTGCTCGAGTCCAACTGTCAGCCCGCGATCAAGACGACCATCTGAACATTCGGGCTCCCTCGTGGGCCGCAGATATGAACTGCAGCTGTGAACGTTGAACAAACGACTGCTGAAATTCGGCATATTTATAAGGCTTGTGCGACCCACCTCTAGGTCCACAACCCAGAGGATTTTGGAATGACAACGGAATGGAGACCCTTCAATGCTAATGAAGGAGCTGGGCCTCTTGAAATCACTGCTGGGTTTTAAGGACTGTTTTTCTCCTGCGATGATTCCGGATTAGTGAAATAAGACCCTGTCGACTCCTGGCAGCAACACTGTTTCCATGAGTTTATTGGGCCATGCAATGTTTGCACCGTCTTTCCACTGGACTCATTTGTTTGACGGTAATTCAGTTCAACAGCTTAGAAGTTACGGGTACTTTGTGTGTGCGTGTGTGTGTGTGTTTTCGAGCATGTACACACTTCATCTTGGCATCTGTTGTGTTTGTAGTGACCGATTGCAGCGCTCATCAGCCCTGTTGGAAGCGAGCGTTCGCTTTTGCCCTTTAGCGTTGGGGAACCAGAGGCTTTCCTGTGTGTGTGTGTGTGTGTGTGTGTGTGTGTGTGTGTGTGTGCGCGCGCGCATGCCCCTTAAAGCTTTGATTGCCCAACACACATACAGACCAGTATAAGACGTTTTCTTCCTCTTTCCCTTCCTTCATGACTCTTGAGATGATTCCAGGTCCTCATGTTTGCATTTGATTTACAGGTAGGAGCCTTTTCTGAAGACACTGACCTCCGTGTGGAGCATTCAATCCGTGGGAGTGAACATATATTCATGTCACGTTGTATTCATCGTGTTTATAGCCACACTGAGAAGGTTTCTCAACAGCGTCGGTGCATGTTTGAATCACTTTTATTTCGCTAAGGCACTTTCCAAAGCTTCGCCTGGGTGGGTGTGGTGACAGCGCTGCTAGTAAAGTTAAATGATCTAAACACGCCATTACATTAGTGAATCCAGATGGCCCAAATGAAACCATATTTATTTGATACAACAATCTGAAACCAAGAGCTGTTTTGCATTACTCCTTATTTACTGTTCTCCAATGATTAGTATGAGTTAGTATTTGTTGGACTTGGTTTTCAGCATCAAACAATCAACAAACCTCTTCATCTCAGAGGAGTTGTGTTGAGTTTTGGCCCCAGGGAGGAATAAAAGGTCGAATGAACACGTGTACAATATGCCTGCCATGTCTGTTTTAAAGAGGTCTAGCTTCACTCTTCCGTATTAAAACCCTTTTTCTTCATTTCCCTCTCAGAGCCGGATTGGAAGGGCGCTCCGCTGAGGCCTCCGCCTGTGGCTCAGGTGTGATGAGGTGTTAAGAAACAACCGCTCTGTGGCCCCCCCCCCCGCGCGCCGGCCCCGGCCGACTCGGCCCCTGGAAAGCGCATGGTGGTGAGCACGGCCTCCACGGAGGTGCGCTGACACCGCCCACCTCTCCCTCCCCGGTCAAGTCCACCTGGCAACGGTTACCGCGACGATGAGCTCTCATAGCCGCTCAGGTAGGAAGTGATAATCATTGAAGGAACGTACAAGAGAAGCTCTTTTGCTCTTCTCTGCACGTGTGATGGCGTTTCCAAACGCCTACTAAACTAATGTTTGAATATTTATACTGACGTAGTAAGTGTTTACATTTGTTCATTTTAAGAATTGCCTGTGCCGTGTCCTACAGTGGAATTCCAGCGCTTCTTCATTTTCACAATTTTACTACATGTTTAATCAATAAAAAGAGTTAGTGAACGACAAAGCACTTTATCAGGCTTATCTCTGTTTGACGCAGCGTTGTGCACACATGTATGCCTCCTTTGAGAACCAGATTGCTTGTTCCATTCATTTGTAACAAATAGTAATCGACCCCTTAAGCCAGTACCGATTCTTACAGTAGCCGAAGCTGAGATACTTTTACGATACTGCTGATTTGTAGCCTCTCCCATTTTTGAAGAGTTTGTTCACAATTTGATTACGCCTTGACGGACGGACCAAACCTGCAGCTTTAATTGAGCCTTTTCTACAAGTGCGCGGCCAAAACACTGTGTCCCTCCCGGCAGTGTCTCACAGGGCCGGTGTTTGTCCGAGTGTGTAGTTTTGTAGAATGGATTCCCTGATCTGCTTGACTTCACCAGTGTGGCCCGGTAACCCCCTCCTCCACGTTTCTAGTTCTTCTTAAATCACACCCGCAGTGTGGATCCGGCTCTTCCTCTTTCTCAACTGCTGACCAAAGTGGACAAAGGGCTAATTGTGTGTCCTCCCCTTTACCCACCATGCTTTGGCCGCCGAGGGGTCGTATTCAACTTAATGATGTCACAGCCATTGAGGGACCGTTGCGGCGCTGCTGCTGTGTGTCTCCATGTGGTCCGTTGGCATCGCCTTCTTTTCTCTCAAACAGCGAGTGCAGACATGTTGTTGTCCCAGCCAAAGCGGGTTGCGTCAGAATGGTGGTTTCAGGCCATCCAGATAGATGTGAACTCTGGCACAGGCCAAAGATATGTGGGATACTTTTTCTTTCCTAAATAGATTGTGTTATGTAAGACGAACCTTGGAGTTGGATATGATTTCCCTTTCGTTATTTTCCTCCTACGTAGATCATTTCCACGCTCTGTACTCACAAGTTTCTTTCCTGTGTAGGATTCAAATTTAGCTGGGATCAGTTTTAAAAAGTGAGATTTATTTCATCAGCTGACCTGCTTTTGCGTTGAGCAATTCAAAACAATAAATAAAAGAAAAAGTCATCTCATCTGGATTTCAGTAAGAAAGGGAACCTTCTTTTATGCGTTCACAATGTGTCAATTAATGGATGAACATAATCGCACTCATGATTTCTGGTGATTCACTGTGAAGCCAACCTTTATAATATACAACACCAAAAATAGCCCAGTTGAAGTTCTGTTGAAATCCTGCACTGAGCCAAAACATTCCAACTGCCAGATTTTCCCCACCCAGAGGAGCTCCCGGTATTAAGAAAGGAGCTTTCACTCCTCGGTTTCACCTCCTGTTAGCATTTTCCCCTTGTCGCCCTGCTGTCTGTGTGCACTTCTGCTGAGCCCTTTTCCATGTATGACAGATCATCGTTTCCCATTCTGAAAACGGACCATTTCAGAGCACTGAAGGCCCCTTTTGTCCGACTTTAACTTGGGTGGCAAATAAGGCTGGCATGTTGACATGCTACTTGGCATTTTCAAGCTAGTTTTTACGGCCTTGGAGCCAGAGCTAGAACCAACATACACACGCACACACAGACAAATTCACACACACGCACACACGTACACAGACACCCCCCCCCCCCCCGTAATCGGTGGCAGGGTCCCGGCGGAAGGGGATCTTCTGTCAATAAATGGGCACGCAGCGCGACTCCCCGGGCTGGATCCCAGACACAGGCCGGGCCCCCGGCTGCTGCTGGCGCGTTGCTGGTTAAAACCCCCTCTGAGGCCGGTAGCGATGCAATGGAAGACTCGTGCAGGGATCAGCAGCGCTTGGGATTGTTTAGCGGTCGTACTTGGCATTTTAACTAACGTCCTGGAAAGACCCCGACCTCTTCATCCGTTTTTTGTATTCGCGCGATGCTCGGACTTAAGGAGGTCGTAGAGAAGCTGCCATTTTTGATTTTAGTTTATTTTCTTCTGCAGAATCCACACGTTTTTCCAACTTTCGACGCCATGCACGCAGAAATGTCGAGGAACGGGATGGCGGCCGCTACGAGGAGCTGGTTTTTAAAATAAACAAGAGTTGCACCTCCTCACTTTTCAGAGTCTTATTCACACCGCTGAGCTGCGGCAGATGGTTGTGAATTATTCATGGCAGGTTTTTTGGGGGGTAAAAGTATGGCCATGTGTAGACTTTTCTATCCCAGAGATTGTTAAGTATCGGAGGGAAGTGGAGGAGTGCTGGAAAGATGTAGTGTACACAGCTACGGCTGGATCACCCCCCTTCCTCCATTGTGATCGAATGAGCGCTCTAACATCATTAAGCAGGATTAAAGTCTATATTTTTTTACTGTTGTAAAAAAAAAAAAAGTTTCTCACAGCAGTCACATTTCTCTTTTTTTGTATCACACTTTTGCAGCCGTGTCTACCTATTGGGTGCTTTGAAGATCTAAAAAATTCAGAGATGTGATCCTAAAGCTTTTCCCCCGGTGACCCTTTTCCCCGTCTTCTCTCTGTCCCCCGGTTTTAATCAGTGACTGTAATAAGGCCTCCCAGTGGGTGCTATCAAAAGCCTGCAGTGGTGGATTAGAGGAGAGTGGCTGGTGTCTGCGCGGACCCGCCTACTGGAAAGTTAAGCGTAATCTTCAAAAAGGGAGATTAACCCCTGCTGGCCCACGCCGACGATTCCCCCGTTCACAGGGGCCATCGTCACAGGGAAGAGGGTGTTAATTGATATGTTTTAGTCGGGACGTGAAGAAAAGTTGCTTTCAAGGCGACTGGAGTCCACCGAAGCAGGACGATAAGTCAAGTAGGGCTTATTAAGGAGAAGTTTTTAAGAAGGTTCTTCTAGCGTGAGCGATGCCACTGCTGTCTAGATTGTCCAAAAGAGCCGGCGGGGACACAATAGCGCTCCCCTCCTATCTGTGTTTGATGCATTTGAGTGCTGCAGAACTGTTATTGTGCACATTTATCCTTGGCTCTGCAAAATTCTTTCTTTATTTTTTGTTCCTCCGTGGAAAGACGGATGGGACCGAGAGTTGAACCAGACTAAACAGAGGCCCTTTTTAAGAGAACAATGGAAGCTGCTGTGGAGAAATAAGATTACTGCCTCATTATTGTCTTTTGCGCCACAGTTTTTCCAGAATATTCCATTCAAGTAATCTCATTGCCAGATGAAACAAGTGTGCAATTTAGACTTTGGAAGAATTTATTTAGCGTTCAAAGCTTCGCTTCTGCCGGAAGAGAAGCTCGGAATTAAATTACGGTTTTGTGCTCAAACTGCTCTTCTTTCAAATAAAAAAAAAAAATCTTCCTTTTCAGCCATTTCACTGTTGACTATTCAATGATTTCATGGCTGATTTGGTAGCTAAATTAGGCAACTGTTGGGGAATTCTCTCACTTGCCTTTTGTGTGAAGTTGCGCTGGCTGGATTTTAGCAGACCGGTCAGCAAAGTAGGAAAGACAACTCGGCGGATCTTTACAGCAGAAGCAAAGGTTTGGTTATTATTGGGGCTCTGAGACATACAGTACACGCCCGCTGCAGTATTTTTTATTTTAGCTGACGGCGCACACGAGCACGGCTATCGACTGCAGGACTCTGCTGTCCACTCTGTAACTGATAAAAGAGATTTAGAACATGCCAGACGAGGGGGATGCACAAGGTCACGTTCCCTCTGTCCCCGTCTGCCTCCTCTGAGCGGCCAGCGCTCCGGTAACGTAAGGACAGAGGATCCCAACGTGTCCCGTCCGGCTGGGAGGTGCAGCCCGCTCGCTGGGTTCAACGGGGGACAGCCATTGAAAAAGGGGAAGCGAGGTCAGGTGGGGTCTCTGGGGATGTAATCCTCCCGCTTCTCTGAACAAAACGAAATCAGAAGTTCCCAGGAGCTACACAGTCCCTGTTAGGAAGTGCTCAGTGCACCCGGGGTCTCCCAGGGCAGAATGAACTTTTCCAAGGACTAATCCGAGGATAAGCCCTGAAGAGGCCTACAAACTGACCGTGCGTGTGCTGATAATACACAAAATGTGTATTGGCATCTGTACTAACGGTGATGATGTTGTGATATAACTATTTGGCTCTTGCCTTTCAGGCAAGTTTTTAAAAAATGTCAGCTTTAATAATCTGAAAAAACAGTAGTAAGCTTTTCAACCGTTCTCATGGGGATCATTTCTATTTGCATATCATCTATTTGTGTGTGTGTGTGTGTGTGTGCCTGGTACTGTATGATAACATCATTGTCCTTTTTTAAACATCATCTCCGTATCTTCAATATCACTATTCACATTCCAGCCCACAACAGTAACTCCTCTCATGGAGCGCTTTGGTGAGTTATGGTAATTAGGGATTAAAAATTCCCTCGTCACTCATGGTGATTACCGGAGGCTCAGCGGTCAGACATGCTGCTCAGCCAGCAACAGCTGGTACGGCACAGTAGGACCCAGATTCCAAATATATCTCTTTTATAATACTGTACTTCTGATAATGGTTCAAATCCTTAATATCGGCGCAAACCATAATTTACTGTCTGATCCGGATCCAAACTCTGCAGTTCTATGCAGGCCACTGGAGGATAAAGGAAATTGACTGACATGCCAACTCTTTACTGAAAGCAGAAGGAGAGATAGATAGCGAGAGTAAACGTAGCGCTGCTGCTTAGAAGTCGGCACTGCGGGAAGGCCTCCTGTGGATCGGCAGATGAGCATCCTCGTTATTGAAATAGCGTCCACACAAGGAAATGGGTCTCGGATGTAATTAGCTGTCACAAACCTCTACTGTATTGGACCCAATGTCAACGTGTGACACCATATTTAAATACTACATTTCTTCTAAAAAAAATATATCTATTCAGCCGTCAAATATAGGC